AGAGGGTCTGGATGCTGGACTGGACGTGTCCCTTCCCCCAGGACTGACCCTCTCTATTTCCTGGCAAACCTCAGTGAAGCTGGTTCCTGCAGCCCTGCCCACTCACCTGGGACGAGGAGCAGGAGCAGAGGTGGGAGCAGCCACATGGTCCTGGTGCCTTGTTCTGTCCCTTGGGGACTGTCCGATGCTAGTATCCTCCAGGGACATGAACTGAACCCAGAGGGAAATTACCTTTGCTTTGTCCAAATCCTTGGTTTTTGTCTTTCTCCTCTACTTCCTGTATTTGTTGTCTTCAGTTCCTTCCTAATTTCGCTAAGTAGCAGAGAAGCAATGACAGATGTGTCTCAATGACTTGGGTGAAGCAAAGCATCCAGGCCTGGCCAGGGCTCTGCTTGCCCACGGGAGTGCACAGAGCTGAGAAGGTGTCACAAGCACACGGGACAGGATGTCCGGTGGGGCCACACAGAGGAGCCCAGAGCTCGGGGCCCAGGAAGCAGGGGAGGCGCCCCCACTTTGGGGAGGACACAGCACTGAGGGCTGACACCCAGCCTGGCAGCAGGAACAGTCCTGTCCCCAACCTGTCTCCAGGCAGCCCCTCCACAGGGCGGCTCAGACCCCCTCCCACCCATTCCCTGCCCCTCCCTCCAGACAGCCTCCCCCCTGCCCTGAGTCTCTCTGAAGCACCCAAGCCCAGTCCGTCCCTGCTCTCAGGAGCCAAAACACTGACCTCCTTTTGTTCTCACACATTCATGCACACTCACACTCTCCCTCCCCTTCAAACACAGGGTCTCAGGCCCATTGATTTAGGAAGAGAGACGGGGACCCCGACCTCCCTTCCTGGGCACCGTATCTGTGTGATGCATGAGGGAAGAGCTCGACTTGGACCAATGTCACTGTAATGTGGACCTCAAGGTCAGCTCTGGCTCCCCGCTCCACACCCGAAGACAGCTGCAACATCGTGCCCAGGCGCCTCCGTGGTGGCCGGGAGCAGAGCCGGCACACGGACTGGTGTGCTGACCAGGCCCTGCCAAACGAGGGCTGCACACCAGCCACCAGAGCCGCAGGCAGCTCCCTCTGCCTCCCAGCTCCGTCCTTGGGGAGTTGAAGCTCACGAGGTCCTTTTGATCAAAGGCAGCATTTCAATACATGCACACAGAGGAGGCAGAGTCACAAGATTTATTACTTACAGATCTGGGAATGAGGTGCTGGGGAGGTGGCAATTAGCCAGGCAAAGGGCAGTCCTCTGTCCCAGGTCCCGGGGAGCAAAGGACAGAGCAGGGTAGCAAGCACCTGTTACTTATGAAATGGTGGGGGCAAAGGTCACTAACTTTTCACGGCTTCAACTCAGTGGCTATTTTAAAAGGTGCCCTGGGAGAAGCAAAGCAGGGTGTTAGGGAGGAATCCTTAGTTCGAGTCTTCAGCTGAATGGCCAGCCTCTGGGTGTGGGCAGGGTGGTCTCACTGCAGAACGCAGGGCAGCGACTCAGAGAAATGCATGGGTATTCTCTCAGGTTGGTGTTTAGTCGTGCACGGCCACGGTGAACATGCGCTCCTCCGGCCTGATGTACACAGCGCTCCTCTTCCCCTTTGCCTCCGGGCCAGGGCTCTGGACGAGGACGGCACAGCTGCTCCCCTCGGCGCCCTCACACCACCGCTGCACGTGCGCCTCCCACCGCTGGTCGTAGCGGCACTGCGCCACCACTGCCCCAGGAGAGAGTAGAGGGAAGGAGACAAAGAAGGAAGGAAAAATGAATGGAGCAGGAAATGCACACACAACAGAGAAGATACACAAAACCTCCAACTCCTGTTTTCTTTTTTAATGCCCTGGCAAGATGCTCATGACAGAAAGAGACAAGCTCAAAACACCCAATAATGGGAGTGAAGGGAGACACCACCACACCCCTTGCATTTATATTAAAAAGACTAAGGAAGATAATATAAAAAGAGGAAAAGAAAATAAAAGGATATCGAAACAAGTTTACGTCAATGTGGTTGAGATTAAGATGGAATAACAAATTCCTACCAAAATAATGCACTGGAATTAGCACAAAAAGAAATAGAAAACACAAATAATCCTACAACTATCTAAATGAACCAAATCCATTATTAAAGTCCTCCCAAAAAGAAAATGCCAGGTCCATGCAGCTTTAATAGTTTCCTGGCTTCCAGCCAAGATGGAGGCATAGGTCGACACACTGTGCCCCCTTGCACAACCAAAAGAAGGACAGCAACAAATTTAAAAAGAAAAACCAACCAGAACTCCCCCAAAATCGAACTGTATGCAAGTCCAACAACCAAAGAGTTAAAGAAGAAACGTGCATCCAGACTGGTAGGAGGGGCAGAGACAGGCAGCTGGGTGGAGAGGACACATGGCAAGGTGGCAGCTGGAGGACCAGGAGGTCTCACACTTGTGCACCAATAAACCAGGAGGTAAACTTGGAGCAAGACAGACCACACAACTCAGGGTTCCAGCGCCAGAAAAGAAAGCCTCAAAACCTCTGGCTGTAAAGACTCGTGTGGGTGCGGTGGCAGGAGAGACTCCCAACCTCACAGGAGAGTTCATTGGAGACACCCACAGGGTCCTTGAATGTATACAAACCTGCCCACCTGGGAACCAGCACCAGAAGGGCCCAATTTGCTTGTGGGTATCAGGGGAAGTGACTGAAAGTGGGACAGTAGTCGAGCAAGTGACCTACGGACATTGTTCCCTCGCAGACCCCTCCCCCACACACAGCCCCACAACACAGTGATGTGGTTGCCCTGCCCTGGTAAATACCTAAGGCTGCACCCTTTACAACGTAACAGTTGGGCCAAGACAAAAAAAATATGGCCCTAGTGAAAGAATAGAGCAAAACTCGAGAAAAGAACTAAGTGACATAGAAATAGCCAACCTATTCCATGCAGAGTTCAAAACACTGGTGATCAGGATGCTCACACAAATGGTTGAGTATGGTCAGAAAATGGAGGAAAAAGTGAAGGCTCTGTGAAATGAAACAGAGAAAAATATACGGGGAGCCAAGAGTGAAAGGAAGGAAACCGGGACTCAGATCAACGATTTGGAGCAGAAAGAAGAATAAACATTCAACCAGAACAGAATGAAGAAACAAGAATTTAAAAAAAATTAGTGGAGGCTTAGGAACCTCCAGGACAGCTTTAAACATTCTAACATCTGAGTCATAAGCATGCCAGCAGGAGAAGAGGAAGAGCAAGAAATTGAAAAGTTTTTGAAAAAATAATGAACAAGAACTTCCCCAATCCAGCAAAGGAAATAGACTTCCAGGGAGTCCAGAAAACTCAGAGAGTCCCAAAGAATCTGAACCCAAGGAAGCACAAACCAAGGCACATCATAATTACATTACCCAAGATTAAAGATAAGAGAGAATCTTAAAAGCAGCAAGAGAAAAAGAGACAGCTACCTACAAAGCAGTTCCCATAAGACTAACAGCTGATTTCTCAAAAGAAACCGTACAGGTGAGAAAGCGCTGGAAAGAAGTATTTGAAGCCATGAGAGGCAAGGACCTACATCCCAGATTGCTCTATCCAGCAAAGCTTTCATTTAGAATGGAAGGGCAGATAAAGTGCTTCCCAGATAAGGTCAAGTTAATGGAGTTCATCTTCCCCAAGTCCTTATTATATGAAATATTAAAGAGACTTATCTAACAAAAAGAAGAAGACCAAAACAACAAACAGTAAAATAACAACAAATTCACAACTATCAACAACTGAACCTAAAAAAGGAAAAGAAAAGAAAGACAAACTAAGCAAACAACTAGAACAGGAACAGAGTCACAGAAATGGAGATCACGAGGAGGGTTATCAGTGGGGAGAGGGAGGAGTAGAATGGGGGAAAAGGTACAGGAGTAAGCAGCATAGATGGCAGGTACAAAATAGGCAGGGGGAGGTTAAGCATAGTATAGGAAATGGAGAAGCCAAAGAACTTCTGCGCACGACCCATGGACATGAACTAAGGTGGGGGAAAGTGGGTGGGAGGGGGGTGCAGGGCAGAGAGTAATAAAGGGGAGGAAAAAAATGGGACAGCTGTAGTAGCATAATCAATACAATATACTTTTTTAAAGAAAGAGTTTCCTAAACATTTAAGGAAGGAGTGTTTATCATACAAAAACTTCTGAAGCAGAAAGAAGAGCAAGCCCAAGTGCAGGGAGTGAGAACAGCATAATCGTGGTGCCCAAGCTGACCAGGGTGGGCAGGAGAGAAATACTACGGACAAACATCGCCCGTGAGCATGAGCACAAGGGTCTGAAACAAAACCTCAGCAAGATGAGCCCGGAAACACAGAAGAAGCATAATGAATTATGACCAAGTCCGGTTTATGCCAAGGACACAAACTTGTCGGGCCATTACAAAATCAAGAGTGTAAGGAGTATACCACATTAACAGTGTAAAAAGGATTAATCATGTGGTCATTGGAATAGACACAGAAAAGAGGATTGGATAGAATGCAACAGCCCTTTGACTCGGAGGCCTTGCTAGACCCTGAGGTTAGCCACTGCTCCCCCCATAGTGCGGGGCCTCTTTGCCCCAGAGATCAGGAATGGAACCAGGGACGGGATCAGCACCTATGAGTCCCGACTCCAAACTCCTCAAACCACAGGACAGCAGCACACCAGAAGTCCCAGGACAGCACTAGAAGAAACTGGGATCTCTGGGTCCCACCAAGGAGGGTCCCTATGGCCCCCAGGCTGCACCGGGGGCCATCACCATGGTCTCTCTGGGCAACAGGTCAGGCCTGGAGCTGGGCGGAGAAGCTCAGTTGCCCAGAGAGGCCTGGCCCAGTCCTGGAGGAGCCCCCGGAGCCCGAGGGCTGCTAACAGAAGCCCTGCCCCTCCGAGCCCAGGTGAGCAGGGGGGCCCATGAGACCTCAGGACTCAACCACCCTCTGGGACAGTTCCCTCTGAGTGAGCACAGTCCCTGACAGGGACCTCAGGGACCAGGACAGAGCAGGCCCTGAAGTCACACAGCCACACACACACTCTCTCTTACCTGGGCCAACGGCCACTTTAACTGGGGCGCCAGGGTCAGCTCCAGTTCTCTCAATCCCACACCAGTAAGTGTCTGCATCCTCCCGCCTCAGCTTCTCCATGGTCACAGTGATCGTGTGGGTGGTCTGATTGTCCCTGATGAACACACGGTCCTCCTTCACCTCCCACTCTGATCCCGTGGTTCTAACAAGGATCTTGCATTCATTCCACGCAGCTCCTCGACACCAGTACTTCACGTAGGGCTCCCACCCTGGGTCATAGCGACACTGCACGGTCAGCAAGCCCTGCTCAGGGCCACTCACTGCTTTGGGACCTGTGACATCTGATGAATCTGATGAGCCTGGAAAACACAAACCCATGTGCCTGTCACGTCCCCCCCACAACCACCACCCCAAGAGCGGGCAGCAGCCTCCTGCATGATGACACCTCCAGTAACTCCACGTGCCCGGTGAGAGGCATAGAGCCCAGGGAAGCATCACCTTCCTCAAGACAGACCTTTGTCTTTCAAATTTCCACTGCGTCACAGCCACCTCCAAAATCCCCTAAGAGCACAGCCCCAGATCTCAAAGACACCAATGTGGACACTGAACAGTAACAGCTTCTGGCAATTCACCCCTCCCCCCCTTGGCAAGAAATCTCTATGTCCCCTCAGTGTCCCTTGGTGCCCACGTCTGTGTTAAACTGGTCTCCTGGGGAGGAAGCAGCAGAGGACCCATGTCCACAGGAGGGAGGTCGTGCCTGACCTGTGCCCATGACCTCAGAGGTCCAGATGGGGTACCTGCCGCACCTGGCTGTGCAGAGGATGGCCCAGGTGGTGCTGATGGGTCCTGTGGTTCCATCGTGAGCCCTGCCACCAGTGGGAGTGCCTTTGAAATTCACCAAAGTGGTGACACAAATGTGGAACCCACATCACACAATCCCATTTTCTCCACCAAATTGCTTTGATTTCTTTGTCAAAAACAAATATGGGAGTTCTTCACCGATTGTCCATTCTGACCCATTGACCCCTTGTTTCTCCTGCCAACCCACATGGCCCTGGCCGCTGTGGCTTTACAGGAAGGCAGGTGGATTGAGCAAAGCTTTCCTCATTATATATGTTCTGGTTCTTTTTAAAAATTTTCTAATCTTTGAAAGAGTCAGGATTCAGAGACATGTTTCTTTACTGTAAAAGAAACAACAGTGAACACAATGAAAATTGACAACAGTCACCAGGCCTCAGTGACAGACCCTGGGACGTCGTGCGGCCCTCGGCAATGAGGAGAGCAGGGGCCCTTGACCCTGGACAGACCCTTGGGCTTCGTATCCCACCTCAGTGATGCTGGTTCCCAAAGCCCCGCCCCAATCACCTGGGAGGATGAGCAGGAGCAGAGATGGGAGCAGCCACATGGTCCTAGCGCCTCCTTCTCTCCCTGGGGACCCTGAGATGCCAGCGACCTCCAGGAACTGAACAGAGGAGCCCAGAGGGAAAGTGGCTTTGATTTGTCTGAATCATTACATTTGTCTCCCTCCTCTACTTCCCTCATTTGTTGACTTCAGTTATTTCCTCATTTTATTATTTAGGACAAAAGCAGTGTCATCACTTATGAGTGTACCACTGATGCGTCTTCAATGACTGGGATGAAGGAAAGTGTCCAGGCCCGGCCAGGGCTCTGCTTGCCCGTGGGAGTGTGAGGAGCTGAGAAGGGGGGGCCAGCACACGGGGTGGGGGATGGGCGGTGGGGCCGCACAGAGGAGCTCAGAGCCCGGGTCCCAGGGAGCAAGGGAGACGCTGGTTGTGCACTTGGGAAGGACGCAGCACTGAGGGCTGACACCCAGCCTGGCATCAGGAGGAACAGTCCCGTCCCCAACCTGCCTCCAGGCTGCCCCACCTCGGGGTGTCTCAGACCCCTTCCCGCCCTGTCCCCCCTCCCCTCCCTCCAGACAGCTTCCTCCCAGTCCTGAGTCACTGTGAAGCAGAGACTGCAGTGGGGACATGATATGAAAGGAGAAGTGGCCCTTTCCCTTCATGCTCCTTTTGTCTGAGATGGGTTTTTCCCCACAAAATCTTTGCATGTTTCACTGTCTGTGGGCTCTTGGCAAACTGACTTCCATGGAAACAGATTCCCACACTGACCCCTAAGTGCCTGTCCCTCCCCTGTCCCCTCTCCCTTCAGAAGGTCCCCTCTCTCCCTCTCTGCCACCTGTCCACTTTCTGTCCAAATGAATTCTCTGTGTCTCTGTTTTAGTATACATGTTCCATATTTGTGAATTTGGTTCTGCCTTTGGGAGATTTCTATTTTGTGTTTTTGCTTTTTCCTCCAACCCTCAGATGAAGTATTTATTTTAGAGGTGATGTATTTTTGCAAAAGCTCCTTATTTTTGGTTCTCTGATTGCTGATGTTCTCACCTCTCCTGTTCCCCGAATTACATCTCCTGACCGCACGCTCAGTTTCGGTCCGGTTCGGTTTGCTGATTCTCCCCCACATCCCAGCTCATATGAGGGGCGGAGCCTTAGGTGTTCACCAGGGCGGGGCACCCCAGTCACTGGGTTGTGACGTTGTATGTGGGGGCGGGGTCTGAGAGGGAACAATGGCGCTTGCTGTGCTCTCCGTGGGTCCTCAGTCCCTTCAGCTGCTTCCCACGAGCAAACTGGGCCCCTCTGGTGCCAATTCCCATGTGGGTGGGTTTGTGTACACTGTGGGACCCTCCAAGGACCTCTCCTGTGAGGCTGGAAGTCTCTCCCTGCGCCTCAGTCGCCACAGGTATCCTCAATCAGTGCCCCAAGCTCTCTTTCCCAGCGCTGGGATCCTGGGTTGTGCGCAGTGACTTGTTTCACAACCGCTGCCTCGCTGGGTCTGTGGTTGCAACTCCTTGGCTGTGGTCTGCCAGCTGCCGCTTGTGCATTCAGGGTCCACCTGCTGCTGTCTTGAGAGCCCCGGATGCCTCACGCACCCAGTCCCAACACTCTCTGCTCTCCATGCCATGACCGGTGCCCAGCTGGCTGGCTCCACCCTCCTACCTGTCTGGCTGAACACGTCTATTTTGACTTGTTGGTTATCCGACTTCCACTGAGATCAATTTTCTGTCAGTTTTGGTTGTTATTCTATTTCTAAATTATTGTTGTCTCTATATTGGTTGTGCAAGGAGGCACAGTGTGTCTACCTATGCCTCCATCTTGGTCAGAAGTCCAGGCTTCTCTTAAAATTAGGTCCTGACCTGATCTACAAAACAATTATACTTTCTGATAAAGGAAACGAGGGACCCCTTTGAGTGCTACCAAGGAGGGAACATGGTTGTTCACCAAAGACACAGGCTGAAAGGTTCACAGCCACGCTGGGCACTGGGTCAACGGTAGAACGGATGTTGGTGTACTGGTGTATTCACACACTGGAACATTATGTCACCATCAGAATAAACACACACATGCAGACACAACCACACCGTAGCAATGTTGATGAATCTCGTAAACATGATGGTTACCCCAGGGACCAGACAGAAAAGACTGCAGCTGTGTGATTCATTCAGGTAAAGCTGCAAACCCAGAGAACAGATGCAGGCGTCCAGGAGACAGGAGGGTGGCGGGCGACTCAGTCAGCAGCCACTACAAGGAAGCCCTCCAACACCGTGGCTCCGTGGCCCAAGGCCAGGGGGAAACATGGAAGGCCTCCCAGGAATGGTCACCTGTGTTTCCTGATCTGGGTGCCCTTTGCTCGAGCCTGTTCTGTTTGCACCAAGTTACTGAACTGAGCACTTTTGTGTGGGGACTGTAGGTACGTATTTTATCGGGGAAATCTTTCCCAGCCATTACATTTACATTTATTTTGTTCTTTAAACAGCTGCCTCTTGTTCCCCTGTGTGGCTTCACTGTGATTAACTCCTCCTGCATCCACAGCGGCAGAGGCTGCTTGCAGCTTTTTGCTCTCGCGTTTGACGCCACAGAATATGGTTCCAGGTAAGAGGGTCAGCACACTCTGGGCATCGCTCGTGTTGACTGCAGCTCAGAGCCCAGAGAGAATGTGGCGGGGGTGGGGGGTGCTGTTGTAGGGTTGTGCTGAATGAATGGTGGCGGGAAGACTAGAGAAGCAGCCAGAGGAGTAGCACCAATTCTGCTCTGAGTGCTCTGGTTTTGTCTCCTTTTACGTCCCCACTGTGTGGGCAGGAATGTTGTGGCCACGTCCTGACACTGCACACTCGGCAGGGACCAAGACAGCTCAGGATGAACAGAGAAGGGAAACTGGAAAGGGAAAAGGACAGGAGTTCCCGGAGGTTTCTCTGGGTGTGTTTTTCTCTCCCCCCCCCCATCCCCCAGCAAGCCCCAGTACAGAAGCTACAACTCCAGAAGGTGCTGGTCCTGTTGGACCAGAGGGACCACGGTGTGAAGACAGGGTGGGAGAACCATTGCATTTCACTGGTCTTTATCCCCCCTCTGCTTGTCCTGGGTGCTGAGCAGCCACAGGAAGTACACAGCAGTTGGGGAGAGAAAAGACAGGCTTTCTGGCTCAAGGACCAGGAGGGGGAGTACAAGGCTCTGGAAGCTGGGAGGGGCTGCTGGGGAGATCAGGAACTAGAGGCAACCTAAGAAAGGGAACCTGGGCTTTCTCCCAGACACAAGTGTTGGCAGAAGGCATTGTTCCTTTGCAGATCCTGCCCCTGCAGGCACAGGCGGGCACCATACCTGAGTCTCCATCAGCCTGGCTAACACCATTTCCCCACCCTGATGATTCCCTGAGACTCTACTCAACTTGTGGGCCCACCCAAACTGCTTCTGGGTTTTCTATACCAACTACCTATCTTGGCTCCTGCTGGAGACTTTCCTAACATCTCTCAAAGGCCCACAAATCCCAAACAAGCAGCATCTGACCTCAGCATGACCTATACATCTTCCTAAGTGGCCCCAGGCCCAGCACTAACAGCAGGTGGGCTCAGTTTGCAGCCTGGACTCTTCTGGGGACCCCAAAGCACAGCACCACTAGCAGATACTTGCAGACTATTTTGTAGCTTATCCCAAATAGCCTGGGCAGGACACAGGCAGGGGCTGGTCTTGGCTTGCATCTTGGCCTCCTGGGAAGCCCCAGGGATGACAGTGCACCTGGTGGCCAGATTCAGAGCATGCCAGAGCACCACCCAACCACATCCTTGAGTGACACAACAAAGGGGTGGACTCGGTAGGCACCAGAGGCCCACTGCAGTCAGTCCTGCTCTACTGTGTGGGGCTGGCCCCTGCACAGCAGCTTCTCCACTGTAGTCCCTGCCTCTTGTTGTATCCAGTCAGCCTGGCGGGGTGTGTGTGTGGGCGGTCCACCATCTCAGGGACATGCCTGCTGCTTGAGTAAAAGAATAGAGTGCACACAGCCTACATGG